GGTAAGGATCAAATGAGAACACCAAAAAGGTTGAGAACGCGAGAACACTTCTGGACCAATCATTTTGCAAGGGTATATTAGTAATTATATATTTAATTTAAATTAAAACAACTTAAATTCAAATCTTAATTTCCTAACATTTAGCGATATTGATTACATTTACCTACAGAAAATTAACCGTTTTTTTTTATTAGTGGATGATAAAAATAATTTGTATTCATTTTTTCGTCAAATAAAAAAATCGATTTTTTAATTTATAATTCATCAGAATATTTTCAAATATGTATGAATTAAACACATTTGTAATTATAAAAATATACGGTTATAATCGTAAATAAATACAACACAATTTAAAGATAATTTTTTTTTATTTTTAAATGAATAAAAATTTAACTACTAATCATACATGAATATACAGACAAATAAAAAAATCAATACATTAATAATTCATTATCAAACACTATTATATTGATAAATAAATCTTTCAAAGATTGAGTTTATACAATATTTATATTCATAAATGAATATGTCAAAACTAATTTCTAACACTTATACATAATTATATTCAGTAATGATTAAACCACTTTAATGGAAAAAATTACTAAATTCATCATTGTGTCAACCATTTTCTTGAATCGGTCGCAACATCATTCTTCTGTTTGAATCAAATGGTCTGCGAGCTTGTGTAAGCAGCAGTGATACCTAAAAAAATTCCAACATTCATTTTTCTTTGATCAATATCTACAAAATGACAATAATATGTAAATACTATAATATGATAAAAACAAAATATTAAAATGAATGATTGGTAGCAAAATCATATGGTGTTATAATCATAAATAATTAAAACTGGTCATCTAATCGTTTATCTTGCAAATAGTTATAATCATAAATGATTCTTATCGGTTTCTTCTAATCATATGGACAACAATATTTATAATCATAAATGATTATAACGAACATAATCAAACATTCTTTTTTGATTAAAGAATTCGACAGTGAAGTGTTAACGGTCGAAGCCTAACATTGATTTTTAAATGGTGATCGTATTGATACTTGAAGCTTCGCTGGTGAAGGAATTGAATATCAAAATTTTCAATCAAGTTTGATTCTCCTTCCAATGAGGTAAACTTCCCTTTCTCCTTTACTATCTATAATATTAGAAAAAAACACCCAACTTCAACAAGTTCTTTCATGTTCTTCATTTTCGTTCATATTGTTCTTCAGCAATTCTTCATTATGTTCTTCAAATATTGAATCCAAACCATTTTTCTGATCAAACACCCAATTTCACAATAATCATTCTATTCTTTATCTAATCTCGGTCATTCATCAACAAAAATTTACAACATAATCTCTAATCATTCAATAATCGGTAAATCTTCATATCTCCGTGAACGATGAGAAATACTAACTGAAATTAGTCAATGGAATTGAGACCTCATACAAATCAGAACTTCATGAAATTCATTTTCACAATTAAGAAAAAACTACTGAGACTGAAGAATTATACAAAATTTTTGGAATCGATCAAAGAAGAACATGAAATTAATTTGAAATAAAATCATGAATTAGCAAATGACTTAAACGCACATATGATTCAGATGAAAAATATGATTAACAAATTGAACAACGATTCCGATTCACAGCCAAATCAATCAAGAAACATGAAAGAATTAAGATGCGATGAGAATGAGAAATATGAACAAAAAGATTAGAAGATACCGATAATATATTAATTTTGGGATGACCTTATCCTTTTCGAGGTGTTCTTTGATGCTAATTTTGGGACCCAAATGTATTTGGGTTTCTTCGTCATCTTCCGCTGCATAACAAAAGGATTCAGATGCATCGTCACGAAATGCAGATCCAGATGGTAGTGCTTCATGCTTCTCGTCTTTACCATCAGTATCACCCATGTTGGCGACTAGGATGCGGGAAACATTGACGATCAGTGGTGTTAGATCGCCAACTGAAGGGAGGAAAGAAAATGGAACTGAATTCATAGAGGGAAGCGGTTTATTATGAAACACTAGAGAGAGAGAGAGAGAGAGAGAGAGAGAGAGAGAGAGATTAAGATATGAGAATATCAAAGGAAAGAGGAGAGAGGGTGAGAAATTTTAGGAAATAGGTAAATTTGCAATTCCTATTATACCCTTCTGACCATTTAAAAGTTACACTTTAATGCCAGTAGTTTTAGAATTTTTCATAAATCGCCCGTTTAATAATAACCTTAGATCTAAAGATTTAAATGGTCAAGATCTGTTCTCGCGTTTTCAACCTTTTATGTGTTCTCATTTGATCCTACTCCTATATATATATATATATATATATATATATATATATATATATATATA